AGCTATGATCATGCCACTGCATTCCAGTCTGGGTAACAGAGTGAGACCCTGTTTCAAAAAGGAAAAAAAAAAAAGTGCCCTTGGGGATTAGGAAGTCTTATTTTGGAACTCCTGACCCCTAAATGGTGGACATGTATGATAAATCAGAGAGCTGTGACAGAAATAGCTGGGGAAGGGGAAATAGTATTTATTTAACAACTACTATGTACTAATGTATATCATTACTTTCACAGCCATCCTATGAAAGAGGTATCATTCAGCAGTTGAAGCAGCTGAGGTTTATAGAAATTATGTAACCTGGCCTGGTGTGGTGGCTCGTGCCTATAATCCCAGCACTTTGGGAAGCTGAGGTGGGCAGATAGCTTGAGCTCAGGAGTTCAAGACCAGCCAGGGCACCATGGTGAAACCCTATCTCTACCAAAAGTACAAAAATCAGCCAGTCGTGGCGGCTGGTGCCTGTCGTCCCAGCTACTTTGGGGGCTGAGGCGGGAGGACTGCTTGAGCCCAGGAGGCGGAGGTTGCAGTGAGCCAAAATAGCACCACTGCACTATAGCCTGGGCAACAGAGTAAGACTGTCTCAAAAAAAAAAAAAAAAAAAAAAAAGAAGAAAAAATAATTATGTAACCTGTCAAAGGTTATAAAGTTAGTAACAAAGCAAGATTATAAATCTTTGTTTTCTGACTAAAACTTATTCATCTTCTTTGCACCAGAACAGGGGTTCTCGCACTTTGGTGGGCATGAGAATCAACTGGAAGGCTTATAAAACACAGAATGTGGAGCTCCACACACAGAGTTTCTGATTTACTAATTCTGGCGTGGTGCTTAAGTGTTTGCATTCCCAGATGCTGCTGCTGCTGGTCTGACACTGCACTCTGTTGTGCTGCCTAACAGTACCTGAGAATGAATTGATTAAGGTCACAGAGCTGGATGTGACTGATTAAGGTCAGAGAGCTTTAACATCATCCAGCCATCTTTTCGTAACAGTGCTTATGATCTGACAAAGCAATTGCTGATTGATAAAAGGTGGAAAGTAATTAGAAAGGTAATACAGAGAACGAAAATGCTTCGGATACATGATGAGGTGTGATAACATCTATTTTTCTGGCTGGGGAATGAGATAAAAAAACAGAGAATTGATCATGGTGCGTGAAGCACCTAGAGTTAGAACACTTCAGTTGGGTGCAAAATGTAACGTTCCTTGTCTAGTTCAGAACCCATGGCTACTTAAGGGGAGAAGGCAGGCAGACAAAGGACTGTCAACAGCAATGTCTCTTATTGTTCTTTGGCTACAGCTGCACTTGCATACTCATGCTGACTTCATCCCCAAATGTTAACTAGGCCAGAACTTGATCAGACTGAAATCTGTAAAAGAAAAAAAAAAATCATCACAGATACCAAGAAAATGTATTTCCTTGGATCTGTTCTAACTCTGAATTTTGTCAAAAATTTCGATTTTTTTTAAGTAGGAGGGGAAGGAGGACAGTTCAAAATCACTTAATTCAGAATCTGCAGTGTAATTGTTATGGTAGGCTCAAATGCGATTTGAACATTCCTAGCTATGGGATTTGGTGACCAAGCTCCCAAGAGAGGATGACACAGCACAGGGAACAGCACAGGCAGCCTGCCTTGCTTTGTAGGGGGCAGAGATGTAAGTCCTTGTTGAGGTCACTGGAGCTGAGAGTACTCTTCATAATTTAAATGGACACGGGTAATTTCCTTATATGTAGGCAAGCCAGCCCTAGGGATAGGAAAGAGAAAGAAAAACAGGGAGTACAGAGTACAGATGGCTGCCCTCTGCTAATTAGGCCTTACCTTTATATAGAATGCTTTTGATTTTTTCAGACACTTTCATGTATATTAACTCATGCACAGAAGGTCAAATATTATAATTATTAAACAAAGTGCAGAGAAGTATGGAGAATTAACTCAGTTAATGAATTAGCTCAACTAGGTAATAGGTGTATCTAATACTAGGATTAGACGGGGACAGTCACTCTGGAATTCCAGGAAAATGAAACATTCAGAAATAAGTGTAGTATCCACATTGATGCTATCAAGGGAACAAGCCTTTCCTTCCAAAGTGACAGAAATGAAGTTTACTTGTTGGTGTCTTCTTACTTCATATTCATTCATTTGTTCATTCATTTACCATGTACTAAATGCTTCCCACTTGCTTGTCATTCTGCTCAGTGGGCCTGGGAGATGAAGAAATGAGACATTATCTTTTTCCATTTATTGAGGCCCTACAAGGTGCCAGAAACTGTTCTAGGTGTTAGGGCTATAGTTTTATATATATATATATATATATATATATATATATATATATATGTACACACACACACACACACACACACACATATAAATGTATAAGCCAGTGTGGAGTTAAGTCAATTAAAATTAACAAAAGCAAAAGGAAATAAATCCTATAATAAAAATGCCTTGATGGATAGAGGGATGGGTAGATGACCAGTTATGTTTTAAAGCAAGTATATATATGGTACGATGTTTATAATGATAGAGTCTAGGTGGTGGGTATATTGGTGTTTGCTGTAAAATCTTTCAACTGTGCTTGAAAATTTTTATGATAAAATATTATGGAAGAAACACTATAGGAATGACAAGGAAGGTGCAGATTTGAGAAAAGTTTATGAAAGACATGACATTCTTTCATTTTTTTAAGAGACAATCGATAGAGGAGTGCAATGGCATGATCACAACTGCAACCTCGAACTCCTGGGCTCAAGTGATCCTCCTGCCTCAATATCTGGTGTAGCTGGGACTACAGGTGTGCACCTGTGTTTGAAGAAAAAAGGTCCATGCCCAGCTAATTTTTATACTTTTTGTGGAGATGGGGGTCTCGTTATGTTGCCCAGGCTGGTCTCGAACTCCTAGTCTCAAATGATCCTCACTCTTCTGCCTCCCAAGATGTTGGGATTACAGGCATGAGCCACCCCACTGGGCTTTGGCATTCCTTTATCCTCCTCTTCTTCTCCTTAACTACCTAATATCCCCAAGCTAACCCTCAGTTGTAGGTTCAACTTCCAAATTCCAATGGGTTATAAAGAGTTCTACAAAAGTCCATGACAACTAATAAATCTATCTAGTAGAGAAAAGACCTTTTGGAGAAGAGGCTAACTCTAGGACCACCTAAAACTCACCCACTCCATAGCTATTTGGTAAGGCACACCTTTAGGAAACTTCACCTAAATGCCTGCTTCTGGGTACCAGGTAGTGGCCACTCTCCCCATCTTTGTTTCCTGTCTGAGCTGCTACAGAGTTTGATGTTAGATGGTGACATAAAATACAGTTATCCCTAGATATATGCGGAGGGACTGGTCCCAGGACAGTCTACATGTAACCAAATCCACACATAAAGTCCCACAGTCAGCCCTGGGGAACCTGCACAAATACTGTATTTTCCATATGCCTTTGGTTAAAAAAAAAAAGCTGCATAAAAGTGAACCTCCCAGTTTGAACCTGTGTTGTTCGTCAACTGTAATTTAAAAGTGAAAAAAGGTTTGTGTTTTCTGGTATCCTTTTTTGTTTGTTTGCTTGTTTGTTTTTTGACACAGGCTCTGGCTCTGCTGACCAGGCTGGAGGGCAGTGGGGCAATCATGGCTCACTGCAGCCTCGATTTCCCTGGCTTGAGAGAAAATTATTTTTTTCAAAATAATTTTCAATTTAAGGTAATTTACTAAGTTTCAAAAGATAATGCTATCGACGTAAATTCTGTTTTAGATTGTAGGCCCCATCAGCTCATTGATACCAGTCCCAAGTTCAGATAAGAAGAGACTGGAAGTTACTAGGCTAGTCCTGCCTCTCTCACGTATGTCCCAGCAAAACTTCTCTTTCCAGTTTCAGCCCTTTAGAGACCTTTTTTCTTCAAACACTAATATAGGGCTTAGACTGTACCAGCACTGTTCTGAGAACTTTACATATACGAATTCATTTAATTCTCACAAAAATCCTGGGAGGTATTTGCCATTATTATTCCCATTTAACAGATGAGAGCACTGAAGCACAGAGAGGTTAAGTAACTTGCTCAGGGACCTGGATGTGAATGCAGAAATCTGGCTCCAGAGGTGGAGTCTGAAACTGCCTTTCTAAGTGACTGATTGCCAATCTCTGGAAAATCAGTTCAATTGAAGGTATTAATGGATCAAAATGTCAGTATGTTTTCAGATACCCTAACTCCATAGGAAGCTCAGTGTATGGGATCTGAGATACTGTAGTTTAGAAGGGAATTGCTTTTCCAAGGGAGGGCACCCTTCAGATAAGCCCCTCAAACTGCCCTTCTGTAGAGTCGCACGAGGACAGGCCTGCTAAAAAGGATGGCGCTGGGGGGTTTCCAAGACAGGAAATATCTAAAGCCAGAGGCTGACATATTATCTTGGCGAACGGGAGAAGGGAAAAAGAACCCTCATTTTTTGGAAACACAAGTTTTTAGTCTGGATAATGGGTAAATGACATTAACTCTTTGTTCCACCCTAATCTTCCAAGCTTGCTCAAATTTTGCTTCTCAAACCTGGGCCATTCCTTCTTATTCAATTTGCCTATTAATTCCTTCAAGCTTTTTATCCCTTCTGAAATAGGTGGTAGCATACCAAATTGAAACACAGAACAGCCTGTTTCTTTCCCGCAGGGTCCGCTAGGGCGCGTCGGAGAAAGGGTTAACCGGGCGGGTGGGAGGGAGGGTCCGGCTCACACCTTTCGCAGAGACCTCGGGCGGCGGCGGGGCCCGGGAGGGGCGGAGGCTGGGGCCAGACGCCTCGCCGCCTCCGCCTCGGCGAATAGCAGCGCGCTGCCCGCCCGGATTGGAGCAGCAGCATCACGCTGACCTCTGCCTGGGATGTAAACGGGCCCGGCCGCTGCGGGCAAAGGAAGGCTCTTGGCTCCTCCGGGAAACCCAGCCCCATCACCCGGCTCTGAGCGGCTCGCAGGCGAGCGGCAGCAGCCTCGGCCCCGGCAGCGCCCAGCGGCGGCTGCGGGAAGCGGAGGGAGGCCGACGCGGGCGCGGGCGGGGAGCGTGCGTCCGTTCGCACAGGCAGCGGGAGGAGGGGCGGCGCGAACCATGGCCGGGGACAGCGAGCAGACCCTGCAGAACCACCAGCAGCCCAACGGCGGCGAGCCCTTCCTTATCGGCGTCAGCGGGGGAACGGCCAGCGGCAAGGTACGGCGGGGCCCCAAGCCGCGCTCCCCTCCCGGCTCCGGTCCCGGCGGCGCATGTGGCCGGCGGCCGCGGGCCATGTCAGTTGCTGCAGCCACCGCGTGGCTCGCGCGCCTCCGCTCCCGGCCGCGCTCCAGCGCCGAGTGCGCCCCGCGCGGCCTGGGGGCGCTGCGGCGGGGGCGGGCGAAGACTCGGGCCATGGAGGTTCTGGGGGTACGCGGCTACGATCGCAGGGCTGGAGTGCTCCCCTCGCTTTTCTCCCCCTGCGTTAATAACTCGTGGCCGGGGTCCTATGGGGGAAGGGCAGGGAAGCGGATGCTTATTGTTTTGCAAGTCCAGTGTTGGGGGAGAGGGCTTTCCGCAGGACCCCCTACGAACCCCCGATGGCCCCCCCACCCCCCCACCCCAGCCCCGGTCTGGCACAGACGTGTTTGCCCAGAGGCGCAGCCCGGTGCTGAGGGCGGAGCGAGCCGGGAAGCGCGGCCGGGAGGGCGAGGGTGGCGGGAACGCGCGAGGCGGCATCCCGGGGAAGGGGAGCCCCGTTTGGGGCTGCACTCAAGGGCTGGGGATTACAGGGGTTTCCGGCTAAAAGCCTGAGAGCCAAATAGGTGTGCCGTGACATTAATGAAACGGTAATAGTAGGGGCTTCTGTTTTTTAAGGTTATGAGAGGAAACGTGGTCGACTTCAATGAGAAAGTTGTACTGGCTCCATGCTCTTCGGTGTCCGGGACGTACGCGTCTTGGATCCACGGAAGGGGGTCATCGTATGGGCGTCTGACACTCTTAGGAGCCTGTTTCCTTTGTTTTATCAGCAAGGCAAGAAGAGACGAGGGAAATGACTTCCTAGCTTTACCCGGGGCTTTTTCTGCAGGTGGAGAAGGGTGGAGTCCTCCCAGATGCTTCTTTTCTTTGCTCCCCTAACAGCCTTTAAGATGTGGCTACTTGTTTTTCCCACCGTTTAACACCCTCCAACTTCATTTGGAGCACGGGTTCCTCAGGGGACCCTGAGAGCTGGGTGCTGGTGTGCGGGTTTGGAGAGGCGGGATGATGCTTCCCCGGGCTGGGGAGAGCAGAGCAGGAAGGCTGGTTGGCGCCATGAGGAAAGAGCCACGAGGTTTTCGCTCCCGAACCGACGCGTCCGTAGCCCCTCCTCCATTTTGGTTTTACGTTTTTCCCTCCAGGTCTGGACGACTTTAGCGCAAGGAGCCCAGCTAGACACGGCGGCTGGCCCTGGGGAACTTCTTTATTGATGAAGTTAATCTCGTCCCTAGCTCCCAGGGTTAGGAATCGGCCTGCTTTAGGTCCTGAAGTTTCTGTTCTGTGTGCTCCCTGGTTGAAGGCTTTTAAAAAAAATTTGTAATTTTTGAATGTATTCTTTACTGTGACTTATACTGGTAATTCAAAGCAAAACCAGAATGCTAGCCCTTTCAGAAAGCTTTACCTGTTCTTTTAGAATTATTTTTGCCCTTCTGGCATTCGCCTGTTGGATTGAGAGCTTTTGTGTGTGTGTGTGTGTGTGTGTTCGTGGCTGTTTTCCCAGCCCTCCTAGCACAGTGCCTGCCTGGCATGTAGTGGGGTCCAGATTTTAAGCTGAGGTCCAGTCCTCCTAAGGTGGGGAGGAGACGTAAACTTGCATATGAGCTTTTAGAAACAAAATGACCTTGGTAATCGTCTAAATAATTTAGTTACCATCAAGGTGAAAACTGCCACCCTAGAAGGTGAATAACTCTGTTCTTCTTCTTGTGTATTTCTCAGTCGTCACCTGTTCTAACTTGATAATCAGTACAAGCTTTTGGTGTTACTTGGGTAAAGTGTGGAATGGGAATAGTGGTGAGCCAATATGGGAGTAGCTAATTCTCTGCCTCCTAAAGTGCTGGGGTTACGGGTATGAGCCACTACCCGGGCTGGCTTTTTAATCTTTATTTTTTGTAGCGACTAGGTCACCATGTTGCCCAAGCTTGTTTGTACATTTTTGACATACAATTGATTGTTTGTCATCCTTTAAGATTGTTGATATTTTTGTTATTAAAAAAATCCAAGACTGGGCCTGGTGGCTCACGCCTGTAATCCCAGCATTTTGGGAGGTGGAGGCAGGAGGATTGCTTGAGCCCAGGAGTTTGAGACCAGCCTGGGCAACACAGTGAGACCCCGTCTGTATAAAATGAAAAATGTGGTGGGTTGAGAAAGTTATTTTGACCTATGTTAAAAACCAGATTCTCAGCTTGGACAACATAGTGAGACTTGTTCTCTACAAAAATAAAAAAATTATCCAGGTGCGGTGTTGCATGTTTAGAGGCTGAGGTGGGAGGATTGGTTGAGCACGGGAGGTCGAGGCTGCAGTGAGCTGTGATTGTGCCACTGCACTCCAGCCTGGGTGACAGAGCAAGACCTGTCTCAAACAAAAACCAAAAAAGATTATGGCTGGGTACAGTGGCTCACACCTCTAGTCCCAGCACTTTGGGAGGCCAAGACAGGAGGATGACTTCAGAACCAGCCTGGGCAACAGAGAGAGACCTTGTCTCTAAAAAAAAAAATAAAAATTAGCCATGTATGGTGGTTTGTTCCACCAGCTACTCAGGAGGCTGAGGCAGGAGGATGGCTTGAGCCTAGGACTTGGAGGCTGCAGTGAGCTTTAGTGCCACTGTACTCCAGACTGGGCAATGTAGCAAGACCCCATCTCAAAACCAAATGAAACCAGATTCTCATTTTTCCCCCTAAAGGACAGGTGTAGTGACAACACTAAAAGGGGGGAAAAAACCCAGGCTAAACTTCTTTGCCTGCATACATACCTGTGACTTTTAGGTATCGTTCTGTTTCCTTTTTATTGCCTGTTCCTTGTTCCTGTGACCTCTTCATTGGACAACTGAAATAGCCTCTGAATCTGTTCCATTACACTGTCATCAGAATGGTCTTCCTTAGGAATAGCTCTGGTTGTGCCATTTTCCTTTTCGGAAACCTTGGGTAAGTCCCCATTGCTCAGTACAGGTCAAATACATCAGTACAGTACAAATCCCCTTGGCCCCTGAACGTGGTCCCAGGCTATTTATTGTTTTTATTTTTATTTTATTTTTTATTGAGATGGAGTCTCACTCTGTCACTCAGGCTGGAGTGCAGTGGTGCCATCTTGGCTTACTGCATCCTCCACCTCCCGGGTTCAAGCAATTCTCCTGCCTCAGCCTCCCGAGTAGCTGGGATTATAGGCATGTGCCACCACGCCTGGCTAGTTTTTTTGTATTTTTAGTAGAGGTGGGGGGTTTCACCATGTTGGCCAGGCTGGTCTCGAACTCCTGACCTCAGGTGATCTGCCTGCCTCGGCCTCCCAAAGTGTTGGGATTACATGCATGAGCCACCATGCCCGACCTTATTTTTCTATACAGCCAAATGCACACAGACCATCTTATTGAACTGCCTTCACTTAACATTTTGCTCAGTCGTCTTCTTTTTGGAATGGCCTTTAGGCTTTTTAAGGCTCAACTCTGTTAATACTTCCTCGAGGGAGCTCTGCTACCTATTTCCTTAATGAGAATTATTTTTTTTTCTTCTGCTTCCATAGACTTACCATATCTTTCTTGGCTTATGCTTATTTGTTGACTGCTTCTTCCATTAGAGTATGTGTTCTGTGAGAGAATACTTTTTCTTAACCTGTTTAAGTGCTTGGGATTGAGGGGAAATAAGGATTTTAAGGAACCATGAGAGAAGGTCTCTGTCCTTAGCAGTTTACTGTTTCTAAATTTCTTCCACTGTTTTTATCACCACGTCACTTTATCATTAAAGCATTTGATTATCTATTCCCTTTGAAGTCAGGCACCAGTCTTCCCTACTGGTAGATGACAATGGAAGATGAGGTTAGGGGAACTTTTGACTTAGTGATAGGACTGGGATTGGGATCTAGGGTTTTATGTTTTATTTTTTATTTATTTTTGGGACAGAGCCTTGCTCTGTCACCCAGGCTGGAGTGCAGGGGTGCGATCTTGGCTCACTGCAACCCCAGCGATTCTCCTGCCTCAGCCTCCCGAGTAGCTGGGATTACAGGTGCCCACCACAATGTCTGGTTAATTTTTGTACTTTTAGTAGAGACGGGGTTTCACCGTGTTGGCCAGGCTGGTCTCGGTCTCCTGACCTCATGATCCGCCTCGGCCTCCCAAAGTGCTGAGATTACAGGTGTGAGCCTCTGCACCCGGCCAGTTTTTTTTTTCCTTCTTAAAATCTGTATCTGTTTTGAACTTTCTCCACAAGCAGTGGCCTCTTCGTGTGAGTATTTTTAGGGAGGTTGGCCTGCGTGTGACCAATATAGGACACGAGAGGAGATGCCGTCCCCTCTGAGGTGTGGACTGCCACCTCAGTGCAGCTTGGCCATGAGTCAGCATCTGCTTTTGGAGTGCTTCAGAATGTGCTCTGGACCCGTGTCGGCTCCCACTGCCCTGTTCTGGAACCTCGGTCGCCATCCCCATCCAGCCAGATCACGTTATTCCACACCCTCCTATCAGGTGTTCCCGGGACTGTGGGGCTGGTTTGTTCCTTCTGCTGTTTTTCTCAGAGCTGGCATTGTGTGTTTTCCATCACCTCAAACTGCTGCCATGGCGGGGAAGGCCTGGTGTGATCTGGCCCTTGGGACCTCCTTCCCTTTCCCCCTCTAGCTAGTACAGCCACACCCACTCTCGGCATGGCAGGCTTTCCCCCAGCCAAGGATGTCCGCACTTGCTGTCTGCTCTGCCTGAAACTCCAGCTTTTTCACCGAGCCATGCCTAGCAGGATATCTGGTAGAATGAAGAAACCCTGGGTCCTGCTGCCTCCAGTAGTTCCTCTCCTGCTGCCTTTCCTCAGGCTGTATTTCTTCTTTGTTCCTTGAGTGTCTTTGAAGTATGGTTTCTGATGCTCACTCTGTCTGTGGTCACCTACCAGTTCACTACATAGCATTTGCTTTCATGTCATTTCTTTGTCAAATCTTGCTTTTATGAGGTTCTGTGGTGGGGACAGATTGTCTTTGGGAATTTCACTGCTGA